GAGAAGGAAGGAGACAAAGAGAAAGAGAGAAAGAAGAAGAAAAGACAGAAGGAAGGAAGGAAAGAAGGAAGGAAGGGAAGAAGGAAAGAAGGAGAGAAAGATAGAAAGAAAGAGAGAAAGAAAAGTAAGAAAGAAGTGATTCTGTTTTGCTGAAGCCTCCGTTACCAGCAGAGGGCGGCCTTGCACTGTGCAGAGAGTATTTTAACACCGACTTGCTGGGGTTGTGAGCCTACTTCTGTCTCTAGAGGTCAGGTCCTGTTTGCCCAGTAAGGCTCTTTCCACATATATTATGGAGTCTTTCCTTTTGACATTCTCTGATCAGAGCTGAATCCTCGGCTTGCTGCCTTAGACTCCTCCAAGGCTGTTGCTCTAGCACGTTTGGGTCCATCTTTATAGCTTCCCAACCCTGCAACAGTGGAATAGACATTTTTTGTTTGACTTCATTTTGTTTGGTTGTTTCTTTTCCTTATGACCTTTTCTTTCTTTGATCTTTCCTTTGTTATATATGGAGTGGTAATTCGTGTTGAGAAAATGGTTGATATTAATAAAGAAGGGGGAGATTTGGGAATGTGGCAATGGGTGTTGGAAATCCCCGTGGTTGAGATAACATAAGACTCTTAACGTGGAGGCCATCAGGAATATAAAAGAGTTTAGTGGGTACAAAAAAGGGTGATTTAGGAGTCTCGATGCAGCCTCTGGTTTCTTGTTCTCCAGCCGTTAAGGCATGGAAGTTTCTGGGTGTTTGCTGTTGTTGTTATATTCAAAGCTGTTTGACCAATGAAAAGCTGTTTTGAAAAGAACTGCTGTGGAGAGAAGGGTATAAGAGGGGAGCCTGCCCTCAAGATAAAACAAAACAAACAAACAAAAAAAAGGCAACACGATGAAGTTACGTCATCAATAAAGAAGCAGGAAAAAGACTGCCTCATGAAGATAGGTTTAGCCAAACTCAGCAAACCACTCAGAGAAGCTCGTACAGAAAGTCGCTGGAAATAGGCGCACTGGAGCTGGAGAGAAGCTCGAGCTGAGAGAAGCAGACCTGTGCACACAACTGCCTCTCGCTGCTAAACAGTTGCGCATTATGGGGAATCATACGTCCTTAGGACAAAGACTGCCCTGGTAACCTTACAGCTTATTCTCCTTATTAACAATTGGACAGTTTATGAGCCTGAAATATGGGACTAAACTGAGGTCAAGGTGTGGGACTCTGCAACTAAAAACGACAAGGTTGCAATGGAATTGCTCAGCACCTGGTGAGCAATCTCGGAGGCCTTAAAGAGCCATGCGGAGCCACAGTCACAACCGTGTCGTTTGCCATATAGTGAGGGAGCTGCGGGCTCCTTTACTGATCCAACTGTTACGCCATGGGCCCCTCTGCTGCTACAGCCATTGAAGGCTTTTGCTGTTACGCCCCCTGCTGACCTGGACGTGCCTCTTGACCCAGGCCTCATTGGCCTTGAAAGGGAGATGGATATGCTTTTCTTTGATCTGGGAAGAACGGGATACATAAGGTCTGAAGACCAAGTTGCTTGACAACTTAAAGCAAGACATATTGTTCAAAGGGAATGGAAAATGGAGACTTGATTGTAGCCAAGAAAAGGAATGGAAAAAGGAGACTGTTAAGTCATGGAACTTAAAGGATTGTTTGTTACCTTTTCTGATTGTACATATGTAAAGGCATACTCCGGTTTAGTATGTAAAACAATGTTCCGTATATTTAGAATGTTTGATGTTTGTATGTGTGTGTTGGTGGAGTATAGACGCCCCGAACACCCAGCACTGTTTACTTGCCTTTTATACCTTTTATAAATACTTGTTTTATAAATACTACAAACTTCAGATTGAATTGAGACTTCATTTATAACATCTTCAATCCTACCAGTTCTGTTAGTTTGAATCTTCCTTGTAGTTTTGGTATTTCTTTGCTTCTTTCAGACATCAGCACCCCACCCCGTTTTCCTTGTGCAGTGCCTCCCTCATAGAATCATAGAATTTGGAATCTGGTGTTGGAAGGGACCTTAAAAACCATCCAGCTCCAGCCCACCTGCACCGGTGCCGCAGGACCCGGTTGGGAGCCACACATCTGGGATGGGGCCGGCTCTGGCTTGAGGGTGACTGAGGCCGTGTCTGTCAGCCCTGCAGTGGGACATGGCGGTTGCCTAGCAGCACTGTGGGTCACAATATGCACTGCCCATGATTGCATGGGGCTGCCATGTGGTCATGGTCCCTGTCCTTGGCTTCCAAAGGAGCCAGGTCCCCATTCTTGGTCCTGAGCGAGGTGGTGGATGTGCGAGTCCATAAGTCCCCAAGTGCCACAGGGCGGACTTCTCGCTCTTTCCCCTGGAGCTGAACACTGCCTTTTGGTTCCACCACACCTGTGCCCCTCATGAGGTCCATGGCCCAGCTCTCTGGAGTTCACACCTGGGCTGTCCTTCCGCAGGCTGTCCTGCCAGCTGCCTGGAAAAGTCTGGAAAAGTCTGCCCTACATGCATTAGTTCTGGACAAAAGCAGCGTACCTAGCGTGTGCCAAACCCTGTTTGGGCATCACAACAGAATCTTGAGGTCTGCGGTGCCCAAAGTGAAACCTGTTTTTTCATTATTTAAAAATTAATATTAAAGAATGAAAAAGAAAGGGAGAAAGAAAGGCAGAAAGCAAGCAAGAGAGAGAGAGAGAAAGAGAGAGAGAGAAAGAGAGAGAGAAAGAGAGAGAGAGAGAGAGAGAGAGAGAGAGAGGAAGGAAGGAAGGAAGGAAGGAAGGAAGGAAGGAAGGAAGGAAGGAAGGAAGGAAGGAAGGAAGGAAGGAAGGAAGGAAGGAAGGAAGGAAGGAAGGAAGGAAGGAAGGAGGAAGGAAGGAAGAAGGAAGGAAGGAAGGAAGGAAGGAAGGAAGGAAGGAAGGAAGGAAGGAAGGAAGGAAGGAAGGAAGGAAGGAAGGAAGGAAGAGAAAAAAAGACTGATGCCATTTTGCTGCAGCCTCATTTACCAGCAGAGTTTGGCCTTTCACTCTGCACAGAGCATTATAACAGCAAGTTGCTAGGGTTGTTAGTGGCCAGAAGACGGCGGCCTTGCACTGTGCACAGATCATATTAACAGCGAGTTGCTGGGATTGTGAGAAGACATAGTGCTCCAAATTCCTTTAAACTAACAAACAAAAACAAAACAAAACAAAGAAAAATAAACAAACCAAAGGGGAAAAAAAAAAAAAAAAAAAGAATCCTTTTGCATTCTAGCAAAATGTTACAGCCCTGGTATAGAATCAGGATGCCATATAGGTGCTGACGTATTCAAGTACCGGGCCAGTGAAGAACACCTAAACTATCAGCAGGTGGATCAAGCTGTGGAGACTGAAGTGGCTGAGGTAGATGTGGACTGGCAACAGGA